AATAGTCCAGGGGGTGCCATGGGAGGACATGAGACACCGTTACATTCTCATGGGCGCCCATGGGGACGCTAAAATATCTCTTTTTTAGTTGTTGTGGATCTCACGACCCGCCATGACCCACCATGAAACACCATGGTTCACCACGGCGCACCATGAGGCCCCTTGACACACATTTTCCATGGATCTCATGAGAATCTCATGAGAAATCTCATGGGGCACCATGGCCATTTTACTCAAGGATATTTGGCTTAAATATATTTTGTTTACTCAAGATTATTTTCCAATATCTTACGATCCGCTGTGAGTGACCATGGGTCCTCGTGGTGCACTATGGGAGGTTTGGTAGACTCATGGGCGTTCGTGGTACCCCGTGAGATTGTTTAACAAAAAAAAACTTTTCATTTTTTTTGTCTTTCTGTATTTTTTTAACCGTGGTGCGCCATGGTCGCCCATGGTACACCATGAGGTCCGATACTTCACTTTTATTTTCATAATTATTTTTGTTTTCAGTTTTTTATCCCCATGTCTCCTCATGGTGCACCATGGGTTCACTATTCCCAAAGTCCCATGAGATCGGCCATGGCATGCCATGGGCTGACACGGAAATGCTCTCGTGGTGCCCCATGGCCTATCTCGTGGGACTACATGGGACCCCATGACCCTGTTCTCATAGTAGCTCATGCGACCTCATGGTTCCTCATAGTGCCTCATGGGCCCCCATGAGACGCTATATTATCGTTTTTTATTCATTACACAATAATGTTATAGTCTGGGAAAGGCCTAGACTTTCTTCCTTTTTTCTTTTTTTTCCAGGCGCCGCCATGAAAAAATCGCCCACACAGGGTACAGCCCAGGTTTGCCCAGGTGGAACTACCCATGGTACCGCGCCCGATGGTTTGGCTAGCATGAACTCAGGACTGCGCTGGTCTGTAAGCTTTGGCCAGACGCATACATAGTGCAGGCGCATAGTGCATGTGACAAGCTGTGATGTTGAGCACGTGGGCCCCTCCTCGTCGTACTGTCTCAAAACAGGAGCAAACCACACACCCTCCCCCGCGGAGAATGAAGCAAGCCCCAAGGAACGATACCCACGGAATCACCAAAACACGCTCGCACAGGGCCTTCTCTGCCTAATTCATCCCTCTACTATACTGCCATTCACATTGCGGCACTTACCTCGAACAAGCCGCGGGATCGTAAGGAGGAGATGGTCTTCTCTCTGTCTCGTCCCTGCCAAGGCTCTTTCCAGGTCCATTGTTGTCAGAACCTTGCTCGTGAAAACCAAGCAGGATGGCACACATTCTGCTCGGTTCATGATGCTGTGGTGTGTGGACGTCGATGTACAGTGGCAGCGGTCTGCGGAGGCTGGTGCTCATCGCTCATCGTGCATGTGTGCGTGCCGGGGTGTGTGTGTCACATGGTCAGCCAACCACAACGGCCGAAGCAAAAACACAACGGCCGAAGGGGGCTCGTGTCTGAATCGCGACACCCCATTTTGGAGCCCCGACTCCCCCGACCGCCTTTTGGCCAATTTTACTGTGTGCCCACCACGGCGCCTTCCTCCGCGCACACCTGCTGCCTGCGCTTCCTCTTTGTGTACAGCGGCACGGGCGAGGAACCATCCTCGGGCTGTGTCTCGCAGCAGCACCGCAGCATGTATGCTGGAGTGTTTACTTGCTGACTCGTGCAGCCCGTGGCCTCTTTTATCGTCGTTTTTTTTTTTGTTTGTGCTCTGTGCTGCTGTGATGGAGCCAAAGCCGCAGCCGTGATATTTTTCAGCTGATAATTTCCTTCCCCAGAGCAACAGACATCATCATGCCCAACAAACAGAGGACATTTAGAAACCAACACCCTCCGGAGGAACAACCCGCCGGAAGAACCCTCCCGACGATTGTTACGGCGGTACCCCGCGAGCATTGTTTCAGGTTCTTTCATCCAGCGGATACATCTGCATCTATCTTTTTTGTAGAAGTTCACATTCATTCCTCTCCTGGAGGATATCATCATTGTCCAGTAACCTCTGGAGGAACTTGGACACCCTCCACCTTCCCGAGGAATGCAAGTCTGATACCTCAGGAGGAATATTTTCGGGCTTTTTCCACAGGAGGAAATTAGACTACTGTATAATAATAAAGCCGCGTTCAATTTTGAAAAATTCCAAAAACCGAAAAACCAAAACGCCAAAATACAGCCACCATGGGGGGGGGCGTACTCTTATGCTTTGCATGCCTTAGCGGTTAGACCATTGACCACGCGTCCTCGAGAGGACGGAGCATTGTTCCCACAGGACCGATCACCGATGGTCAATCGTTCCTTCCTACTTTGCCAAAGGTGGCTCAAAAATGTCTTTCCTAGTCTGTCTATCCTACCGATGTCACTTCCCGCTTTTTCAAACCACTTTCTACTCCCCAGTACCGCTACCGTCCTCTCCTCTCTATTCCATGCCTCAAACATCTCCCTGTACGTCCCTTGTATTCTTCCCAGCTCAGTCATGTACACTTCCCTCTCCTTTTCGTACCACGGACATTCCGCAACTACATGAACACTGTCTTCGCATTCGAAGCCGCAATCGCATTTGAACTTGTCGTCTTCGTCGTCTACCGTCCTATGTCTTCGTCGACGTTCGCGAAGGCCTATGTCCTCGGTCCTGAACTTGACCTTAAGCTTTGTCCCTGCATCCATTGGTCCATGTAGGTAATCCTTGAACCCTATTCCTTCTTTCAACATTCCGTACACTTCTAGACCCTCCTTATCCTTGGTTTCTTTCCTTAGATTTTGTTCTTCTCTCTCGGCACAAGCAACAGATATCTTCTTCTTGAACCCCTGTAGACCCTCCGTTTCCAGCGTTTCATCTTCGTCGATGTCCAATCCCTTCCATACGTCCTCTACAACCTTGACCCATTCCGTGGGTTGTCTACCCCTCTTTTTGTTTGCCCACTTCGCCTCCCATACTATTCTCGGCAACCTCTCCTCTCCCATCCCGCACATGCGGTACTGCCATGTCAGCTTCCTTACGTCTCTTCCCGACCGTAGGGATTGGATCCCCAATTCTGCCCTGACTGCTGCATTACTTGTGCGCTTGGAGCATCCTAGGATGATTTTCGCTGCTTTCATCTGCGCCGCCTCGAGTTCTTTCACTACCTTCTTATTTCACAGCCACCATGGGGGGGTGGTCATTTTTGAATGCTCGTTTCGCGCCCCGCGTGTGCGGGGCGCACTCCACTTTGAGCATCATGGCACCCACAACAAGAGGAGCGCATAAAGCAGGGGGGGAGACCGCGGCACCCTCAGGCCGTTCAGGTCGCCCTGTGGTCGGCACCAGGGCGACCCGCAGCAGCGGCCGCGGTCCGCAACAAGCAGCGAAAAAAAAATCAAAAACAGCACCCTCGCAACGCACGAGGCGCGGCCTCTCCCTCCCGCCGCGTAACACGCGGAGCTCAGCGAAGGAGGACGCTGCCGCTGATGGTGCCACATACCCTGCCTCTGCCACGGCTAATGCTGCAGAGGCGTTGGCGGACCTAGCGCAAGCTGAGGCGCCTCCCGCTGCTCGTGCGGAGTCTGGAGGACACACAGCGCAGCCTGTCTCTTCGCCGGCTAGGGCGAGTTCTAGGGGGAAGACGCGACGTGACTATACGTCGATGCACGAAGGCACGCCGCCAGCTGCAAGTCACACGGCGTCAGGGCGTCAACCTTCAGCGAAGGAGAGGCGTGAAGAGCTTCAGCGGCGAGCGATGGATATGCCAGAGAGCGACGACAACAACAGCAGCAGCAGCGGGTGCGGCGGCGGCGGCTGCGGCGACGGCGACGACGATGACGACGTTGGCCGCGGCGCCGACGAGGAGGAGGAGGAGGAGGAGGAGAAGGAGGAGGAGGAGGAGGAGGAGGAGGAGGAGGAGGGTGAGGAGGAGGAGGAGGAGGAGGAGGAGGAGGAGGAGGAGGAGGAGGAGGAGGAAGAAGAAGAAGAAGAAGACAAGGAGGACGAGGACGAGGACGAGAGCCGTGCTGTGCCGGACGGGTTCGACAAACAGAACACGGTGAGAGCGGGAGAACATTGGAACATGACGGAATTATTCTTGAGAGGTGCGGTTCTTTTTTTGCGATCTTGCCGCAGGTTATGTACATGCACTTCTGTTTTACGCTCCCGCTATTTTTAGGTGGTTGGAATTGCGAGGGATAGACTTGTAATTGTATCTATGTTGGTCAGCGTTCATGTGGCGTGTGATTGAGGCGTTTTTATCCAAATTTAAGTCTACACCCCCCCCCGCTGTGTTCCCGCTGTGTTCCACTGTTGCATCTCTCTCCTGCCGCTTGAATATATGGGGTTTAACGGCTTTCTGGCCGCACCAGTATAGAATGCTCGCTCGCGACGACACAAATCTCGAGTCGCGAGTTTTTACGTAGGGGTAGGCTTAGCATGCTGCATGTAGAGCTCTCGGGGTTAGACTGTCGGGGTTGCGGTCGACGTACGTAGAGACTTAAGTGGGTTGAACTCGGGACACCTCCACATCGCCGGTGGTGCTGCCGGGCACGTGCTGGTTATCCCGTCGTGCTATGTACTTTCTGCCTTGCCTGGTATTCGTTGGTTGCGAGTTTTTGTAGCCTACAGTCGGGCCTATAAAAGCAACACTGGATTCGAACGAATGTGTTTCTTGTGCCCATTGCTGCGCGGCGCAAATATACGAAGGGATCGAGGTCTCACCCCCGCCTATGCCCCCCCCCCTCTCGCGTGCCCACATAGTAGTCTTCGGCTCCACGCTCCCGATCCATCGGCTTGATGGTTTTACCGTTGGTTGATAATTTACTCTGGCAACCTTGTCTCCGGGGTTAGGTTTGGGGAAGGGTCGACCAGGAGTTCGATGTTGTATTTTACTATTTGCGTCCCGCGTACTGAAATGATTAAACCGACGTCCCTCCGCGCCGCGCAGAGCAAAATGCTGTACGACTTCCGCGAGAAGAAAAATATCTTCGAGACCATCATCAAACTGGGTGGAGGGAAGTTCATGATGGTGGGTGCATAGAATTGGTAAGGGTTAGTCTAGTGCTAGGGTTGGCCTGTTGCCAGCGCTTCATGCTGGCAAACAGGAAGCAGGTCGACTTGGGCAATGCTTTAGCTGATGTAGCACAAACGCTGGCTTCCCGATGTCAGGCGAGATTGCGAAGTATTAAGTTTTCAGGGCGTTTGGTAGTACAGGTTCACCCTGGAGCACCCACGTACGACAGCATAAGTTTAGCTATGCATCGATGCATCGGGCGTAGTCTCGGTCCTCCTTTCCAGAATAGTAGGCCAGCAGAAGACCCTCCGGGAAAACCGGTAGATTCGTTTATAGTAACTCTAAGAGTCTCGAGCTGACTAGGGCACCCTCCTCCGTCCTCTCTCTACCGCCCTACCGTCAACCCGAGCAGAACAAGAGGTTTTCCTTCAACAACCAATACGGCGTGGTTGTGTGGTACAACGAGATCGCCAAGCACGTCGTGACCAGGCTCGAGAAGGATAGCTCATACATCTCTATGAACGGGTCGCAGGTCCGCAGGCATTTCGGCAAACGGCGGATGAAGACACTGATGAAGTGGTGGAAAGGGCAGGTCGACGCCGACAAGAAAGCACGGCGGGAGGAGAGCAAAAGCACTGGCGCGAGCGGGGGGATGGATGCGTTCAACGCCAACCCGGCCGTCAACACGAAGCAAGTCCTGAACGAGGGCTTTGACTTAGGCGGCGCTTTCGAGGGCGGCGGAACGAAGAGGACGAGGATCGCCAGCAGCGGCGGCGGCAAGGCCCTGAACCTTGACGCCGAGGGCGGGGGGGAGAGGAAGAAGAAGAAGAGCAAGAGCCGTGACGGCGGCGGTGGCGGAGGAAGCAGCGGGGGCGGTGCGCCCGTGGACCTGACGGGCGACGCAAGCGCCGGGGGTGGCAAGTACAGGAAGAAGGGCGAGAAGACGAAGCAGAAGGTGACCGGGAGCGGTGACGGCGGTGCGCCGGTGTACCTTACAGGCGAGGCGAGCGCGGGGGGTGGCAAGAAGAAGGAGAGCGGTGGTGGGAAGGGCACGGGGAAGGGCAAAGGAAAAGCGAGGGCGGACGCCAATGTCGACGGTGGTGGTGACGAGGGTTCGTGGGCGGGGAGCTCCTCCGAAGAGGAAGAGCAGGTCACCGACGTTGCCCTGTCACCGGCGGGTGAAGGGCAGAGCGGGGGAGGGCAGAGCGGGGGGGACGAGTCTTCCGACTCCGAGTCCGAGTCCGACTCTTCCTCGCGCGACGGAGGCGGCCAGAGTAAATCGAGGAGGAAGTCGAAAAAGTTCTCCCCCCAAGACACTCTGCACGTCTTGGGTAAGATGAACCAGAAGGCGGCCAAGCAGCGCGAACATAATTTCTCGCGGTTCGCGGGTGTAGTCGAGAAGGTCTTGTGCGGGGGCGGAGGCCAGGGTGGGGGCGGGGGAGCGAGCTCGGGCGTCGCGGACCGTGCCGCAGAGCTGGAGATTGAGATACGGAAGCTTGCGCTGGACGAGAAGAAGGAGGCAGAAAAGCAGTGGCAGCAAGCGGTTGCGTCGGAGAAGGCTGGTACAGAAGGTGTCACCAAAGCAATGGTGGCGGCGGCCGCACAGAGGTACTTCAGCCTAACTTAGGAAGCTAATGGGGGGAGGGGGGCGTGTTTGGTCCCAGGGGGGTTTAGGTTTACTTTAGCTTCCCTACGCCTCCCCCCTCCTTGCCACGTGCTTGGACTAGAAGTGTGGTTGGGGCCGTGTCTGCAGGGTAGGGTCGCGCATCGGCGCCAATACCAGGCGTGAAATCAGCGGTTCCGCGAAAATACGTTGTCGCCGAACACTGATCCCTCGCCCAAGCCCGCGTAGCCGCGACGTCTTTGGTTTTCTCGATTGTTTTTCGTCTTTTCCGCTTGCTTTCGGCTAATTTCCTTGTGTTGGGTGGGGACGACTTGATTGTGTCTTGTGTTATCCGCTTGCTTTCTGTTAACTTCCTTGTTTCGCATGGGGACTTATTGTCTTTGGTTTGCTCGATTGATTTTCGTCTTTTCCGCTTGCTTTCGGCTAATTTCCTTGTGTTGGGTGGGGACGACTTGATTGTGTCTTGTGTTATCCGCTTGCTTTCTGTTAACTTCCTTGTTTCGCATGGGACTTACTGTCTTTGGTTTGCTCAATTGTTTTTCGGCTTTTCCGCTTGCTTTCGGCTAATTTCCTTGTTTTGGGTGGGGACGACTTGATTGTGTCTTGTGTTATCCGCTTGCTTTCTGTTAACTTCCTTGTTTCGCATGGGACTTATTGTCTTTGGTTTGCTCAATTGTTTTTCGGCTTTTCCGCTTGCTTTCGGCTAATTTCCTTGTTTTGGGTGGGGACGACTTGATTGTGTCTTGTGTTATCCGCTTGCTTTCGGCTAATTTCCTTGTTTTGGGTGGAGACGACTTGATTGTGTCTTGTATTATCCGCTTGCTTCCAGCTATCTTTCATGTTTGTGGTGGGACTGATTATTTTTCGGGGGAACGTAGCGTGCCATGTCGCCCACGGGGAAGGCTGAGCGACGGACGGAGTAGGGATGTCTAAGTTCTTTGTTCATCTATTGTCGCAAATTTCTCATACGATCGGGGTTAGTTTATTTCTTTTGGTTTTCTGGGACGTTGGGCGGTCGCAGCGTGTCATTCTACTAGGATAGAGATGCCTGTCGTTGGTCGGCTAGCGTGGTGGTTGGGGTTGGTTTGTTTGTGTTGGCGCTCGGTGCATAAGCAGCCTGGACTTGGCGGGGGGCTAGCCGGCTTCCTTGTAGCAGTACTGTCTTTTCCTTTTTCGCGCCGACGTCGTCCTAATGTCTATTCTTGTTTCGTCCTTACTTTATCCACTGCTCACGGAGTGGGGGCGATTAGACGATGATGACCGCTGTAAGGGCAACGATTGTGATGTCCCTATGGCTTTTTCGTGTGCTGGGTTGTTAGGGGACATAGTTCCATCTTTGCTGCTCTGGATGTTGTTATATTTTGCATCGAAGGAAAGGACTTGGTATGTGCTGATTGGTAATGGTTGGAGCCTTTGTGCGTTCCGAATGCTGATGAAGTGCTGACCAGTAGGTTGAAATGATGGTTTCATTTGAGGAATTTGGCGCTGATTGAAAGACACGTCTGCTGAAATGTCCGTCGCTCTGCAAGACGCAATTCTGATGTGATGTTGTATTTTGTGGATAGTCTTCCAAGGATGTCTCTGTTGCTTTGGCGGGTTGAGTTTTCTCAACGGGGGTAGGTAGGCTCTCGGCGTATGTAGGAGGTTTATGTTTGGTCAGGGTTATGAAGTCAGGAAGGGGGAAAGATGGCTGTTTGACTGGGTTCTTGGTGTATTATTATTTGAAGCTGCCTGTTCCTCGAACGGTACATGCATGTGATACACATGGACGGCATTGTCCATAACCAAGGACGGTAACTGTTGGTACTTGGAATAGATTTGCGCCCCCGCACGCACCACAACCTTATGACACGAGAGCAAAACAACTTAGTGGCGCATTCGGCGAGTGTCCACAGCGAGCTGGCAACGCCCTCGCGCCGGCACACAAAGACGACGACATTACAGTAACGAGGTCGTATGACAAGTGTACTAGCCTACCGTACTTAAGATGCTTCCGCGAGCTTCTTCGGGACACCCTCTCGCGAGCTGCGTCACAGAGAGTACACAAAGAGTCCACAACGGGCAAATACACTTCGACTTGAGGGCTAGTATTGCCTATCATGACCTCTTACAGCAGAAGATACACACACTGGGCAGGCCACCGGAACAGGCCACCCCCGTGTCACACACACACACACAGACACGTGCGCGCGCCAAGCCCCCCTCCCTCTACCCGAACTCGTCAAGAAAGCCCCTGCACAACGACACAACGGGGAGTGTCCAAAACGAGCGACTTCACGGATATTTACGGCTTTAGGGTTACTACGCCTCCAACGTACAACTCATGGCCACGAAATACGATAGGGCAGGGCAAGGGCAAGACCCTCATGTCAACGTCCCGTTGTTCCTCCTCATGCGCTTCTCGGCTCTCTTGCGGCGGCGGTCCGCCCGCGAGCCAGGCGCTCCCCATTCCCTCAGCAGGAAGTGGTCTCGAAGGTGTTCGACTTCTTGCGCCCTCGCCGAAGCTGCGGGTCCGCAACCGGCAACAATATTGTGGCCCGTCCCGTTCTTGGTCGGCGCGTTGTCCTTTCCCTGGTCCTTCGGAAACTCGCCCTCCAGTGCAAAGATGAAGTTGTGCAGCACGACACAAGCGTTAACCAGGAGAGGGGCGTTCTTGATTTGGCAGTCGAGGCCCTTAGCAAGCGCCGGGAATTTCTTCTTCACGCGCCCGTACGCGTGCTCCACTCGGAAGCGATGACTGGAGTGCTTGTAGTTGAAGAACCGCTCGGCCCTGCAAGTGGGCTTGGGGATCGGCGTGCGCATCCAATCAGACTCGGCGAAAGCCGAATCCCCGAGAATCACCGCGCCGTTGGCCAAGACGCGGCGCTCTGCTGCAGCCACCGTCCGCTCCACCTCTGCCTCATGGTAGAACTGACTGTGCTGTAAGACGCTGCTGTCACCACAACTCCCTGGCGCGCCGGAACAGAACCAGCGGAACAGACCCTCGTTGTCCACGATCGTGAGGAGGGATATGGAGTAGAAGTGCTTGTAGTTGTAGTAAGCCCTCGCCAGGGCCTCGGGGGGCGACACCTTGATGTGGGTCCCGTCTATAGCTCCGATGACGTTCCTGCATGGGGCACAGGTCCGAACGTGCAAGATCGGGCGCGAGGGTGGTAGTCATTAGGGCGCGCGAATATGCAAACGCAGATATTGGGCAAGAGAACAGTGTCACGGGTTATACGTGGGTGACAGCTCGTACTCGCGCCAAGAGGTCCCAGAGCACACCGGAGAGGCTCAACATCCGTCCTCCATGGAGCGTACGCAAGATACACTCCTATCCCTCCGAAGTTATACATTGGCCAGGGTGGTGGGCCCACCGCCGTCTTCACAATCAGCGCTCCCCTAACCCCTGTACCCATATCCTTAGTCTATATATGCGCGCGCCATCGGCGATGGTAAGTGTAAAGGCTACAACAACGGGAAAGGGTCAGAGCTCAGGGCTTTGTAACTTAACGCGCCAACGCTTGGAACAACAACGCACGGACCAGCAGGGCCCGTTCATCGTCCTTCGATCTACACGCCAAGTCCGACCCGCACACAGGTCGACACTGAACTGCGTTAAACTCGGGCAACTAACACCGATTGGATGGGTTTAGGCGATACTAGGCCGGGGTTAGACCTACGGGTCGTACACACCTGAGACCCTTCTCCAGCTCCCACTCAGTGGAAATCTCACGCTGCTCCGCTGGGCTGGGCCAAGCGACATGCTTCCGACGAAGCTTTTCTTCGATGAGTTTAGCCACCTCGAGCGTGCAGTAGGAGATCGCCCCCTCTGACAGCTCAAACATGATCGAAGTCCCCCTCACATCCGTATTGTGACCCAGGCGCCACAAAAAGACCGCAACCCTTTCGCTGGGATCGAAGAATGGTCCACGAGCCCCCCTCCTGCAAAAGTCCGTCGTTCCGTATAGCTTCCTCACCAGCGTCGCGAAGGTCGTCTTCCTGGTTTTTCCACGGAGACAAAAGTCAGTTTCGATCGCGGGCACCTTTTATCGGCTTTTCTGTGCTTAACCTAACCAGCTGCTAAGCACCAGGGTTAACTACAAAGCATAGAGTGTGTACGCTGTGGGTGTGAAAGAGGTATACGTTTGTTTGGGGCTGGGGCTGCTTTGGGGAGACTGAGACAGGACTGGAGGGACAGCGGTCACGCGCGCTCGCAAATAAAAAATATCAATCCCATGCAGGCTCATTGCGCGTGACGGCTCTCGCTTTTCTTACCCCTTCATGCAAATGTACACTGAGGAAGGGTCGACACGAACGGAAGGCACAAAATCTACGTTTAGGAGAGGCGGAGGTGCTCAGCCTAAACTGGTGAACAGCCTTGTGGTCCTAGGGACACCGCCGCATATACTGTCAGCCCTAGCTTTCGGGCCAGCGACATACCTGCACCGAAAGGCACTTCTGAATTGGGCGCTGCTCAGGTATCGTCCCGTGCGCTCCCAGTACCGCTTTGCATGCGGTCTGGTCGTGCCGTCCCTGGCGCTGCCGTCGAGGAAGTCGGCGACCTCATCATACCCGGCGGTTCCAAGGGCTTGCACGAGAGGTGTCTCAAAGTCGTCGTCATCGTCGTCTATAAACATCAGGGACGCGAGCAAAAGCAGCGCCGCTTTGTCGGACCCGGTGAACGGCATCCTGCGAGGGACAGCGGAAAAGGGCGTAAACAATTTACGTCGGCTACCGTAGTTAGGAATTTTGACGTCCCGCGAGAAAAAAGGGAAATTCGCGCAAAAGCTTGATAATAGGGTTAGAAACGACCAAATGACGTTAATTTTTCGTCAGGGGAGTGTCCTATTAAGGAGCCGTCCCCCCTAAAAGCCCCGGGACATTTTGGGGAGGGGCCCCCCCCCCCCCCCCCTCGGGCCCAATTTGGAGTGCACAGCAGCAACATGTACATATTGCACCTCTTGCTTGAAGGGTTCGCACAGCACCAGACAACGGGTCCTGCAATAGGGGGATCTTTCTTA